CTAGCATGCAAAAAAAAAAAAAGTGAGGAGATAGAACCTTCAGTGGATAGACAGCACAGTGTGGCTAAATGCTTAGCATTTCCGCTTGGCAGTGATAGGATCAGTGGTCCTAATCCCAACCACGATGTTACCTGCCTGGAGTTTGCATGTTCTCCCTGTGCCTGTGTGTTTTTTTTTCTCACATGCTGGTAGGATAATGGTTAATTGTCTCCTTTTCAAATGGTCCCTAGTATGTGTATGTATGAATGTAGTATGTGTATGTATGAATGTAACTTAGATTGTATGCTCCTTGAGGGCAGGGACTGATGGGACCTCATAATACATATGTAAAGCACTGCTTAAATTGATGGCGCTATAAAAGTTCCTGTAATAAATAAAAATACTTAGAGGAAGCATCCAAACTCTATGAAAGAATGAACTCAAGCCCCATGTTTCCTCTTTATATCAGTTACTTACAGGTTCTCTGTTTAAAGTATATCTAAAGGAAGATGTTTTGTTTTTTTTTTTCACTTATGGAAAGGAAAAGGAATTTGTTAAAACTAACTTATTCACCATTCTATGCACTCTGTGGCTTTACATACACTTTAAATGTAATATTTGTTAATCATTGTGTGCTTTTATGAGCTTACTGAAAATCCTTTATTACAGTAGAAAAAATATTTGAATGTTGTAATAAAAAAATGATTAATAACCATGGATGAATCACTTTCTACAGTAATTGTTACGATTGTTTCATTATAATAAAGTTCCTTCCTTCTGTATGTGTTGCAGTTAGTCATTATTTATTGTTTTACTTTCTATAGAGAACTGTAAAAAAGTATAACAGGCAAAATGTTAAAGGAGAACTCCAGACAGATTATAGAATTCAAGGATAGATGATCCATAAGAATAGCTGTGTCTGTGTTTTGTGTTCAAGTGTAATGTTGTACTGAAACTGATGATGTTTCTCCGTTAGCCACATACTTGCCAGGGATGTAATAGATATGCAATAAACTCTTTAGACATATCTTTTACACCGTGGCTGTGACTGGGTTATGTTTGAAACACAAGGCATGCACAGAAGTGAAAAGGCAACATATACAATCCCTGAACACAACAATTCATATTGCAAATTTACAGAAGTAAAAATTAAATATAAAGGTATAATTTCTTTGATGAATAATCATGTAGTGTATTCCTTATTCAGGATATGCAAATCTCTCTGTACTTTGTGCCACGCACAGAATAACATAAAGTACTATTCCCACACTGTCAATGTGTCACGGCCGTGCACTCAAAATAATGTACAAATCTTGGTTTCAAATCTACTGTTGATTCCATTCCCAATAACTCTCTCGATTGTAAAGAGCTTTGCCGAAGTCAAGTCTTCAGTATTCTTCCATGGGTGCTTCATTGATATGATTTTAATTTTGTGTTTTCCAGGCATGGGTAGTTTAGGATTAAGGGCACTATCACCCTGCTCCAGTGCCGTTTCCCTGCAGCAGGGGTGCAGTGGAGTGTACCCGAGTATAAGTTGGTGCTTCTAAATGGTTCTGCGTGTAAAAGTTTTTCTGCTATGTTTTATGCCCTGGGTTTGGTTATTTTACTGTGTTTATGTATTAAAGTCATTTGCTACAATGCACATTTGCTGCTATGTGTCCTGGGCTGACCTTTTGAGCTGGTGTTTCCTGAGAAGGAAGAGTTAATGCTGCTGGTCAGGTTTTCCTGCGCTTTTCAGGAAGGTTACTGTCCCCTACAAGTAATATCACATACAACATATAGGGCTTTGTAGTGACCTAGGGAGGTTGAGTGAGGTTGGTTAGGGAGAAGACTGGCAAAATGTAGCACTTCTGCTGGTGACATGTACCACCCCCAGTAGGGTTCCCAGTTGGGTATGGAACCAGTGGATCTATATGGACTTGTGCTACCTTAACTGGACCCTGCTTATGGATTATTACTAGCTCATGTGGATTATTGCCAGTTATGAACTTTTGTATTGGAAAGGACTCTTTTATGGACTAGCTACCCAAACAAGGTATGACTACCTCATGGGCCATATTTAGGGACACTAGAAAACGTTGTTAGGAATATGTTGAAGATGTTATCTCAGTAAAATATCTATGTTCTCCCTTTAAACTACCTGGTCTGAAGTCGCTAAAGGGATGCATGTAACATGTATCAAAAGAACATTGCTTACAACGGGGGAATGGAAAGGTTACAGAAGATACAGTACAGAAGTCTAACAAGCAGAGAAGCTGTCCTAAGGAGGCTATATTGCCATTGATAATGACTACCATATTTGTGTCAAATGCTAAATCAGCCAACCAGCCAAGAATCTGGTGACATGGCAGAAGTAACGGATACTCTGGTAGTGAAGGGATGTTATGCCTGGTCCCTTCACTAATGCACTCCCCACATACTGGGACTGACCTTGAGGCACCTAGTGACCTAGCCTGGAGTCATGGAGAGAGTTGTAGAAGGGGCCCTGAGGGGAGAACAAGCATGGAGTTATGGGGAATTGTTTTTTCCTGCATCCATTAGTAACATATGCAATATTTTTACTTAGAGTGAGATCACGGGACTGCTAAGTTGGTGGAGACCGATACAAGCTCTGTGGAATTGCTGCACACTGGGGGGAGAGGTGACCTCTAACAGGAGTGGTGTCCACAGTGGCACTATGGCCAAGGATTTCAAAGTGTTAACTGTGCAAGTTGCTCTGTTCACCTCTAAGGCTGGAGTATCACCTTAATGCTGATTTCACATGGCTGCAATTGTTGTCTGTAGTACAGGCATTAGCAAGTGCAGTTCCACAGTGTCCCAGCTAACATGCCTCAAGCTCTGCCCACACATGATTTTCATGACATCTATTAGATCAGGCATTTCTGGTGCATTTTCTGAAAGTCCTGCATGCTGCAACTTTGGTGTACTTTCAGAAAATGCACGAAAAAAACACCAAATTATTTTGAAGTTTATGGGAAAGTACGGGTAACCTGCGCAAAATCTGTGAGTTCACTGCACTGCACCCATACTCTAGGATAACCACACCAGGGCAATGGGAAAGGGGCCTAAAGTGTATGGATAGCCAAACTTACTTTTTTTTGTTTTAAGTAGAGTTCCTTTTTTTCTGTCTGCATCTTGTTGAGAGATTCATCTTTATGTCCTGTTCAAGATACACTGCAAGACATAAAGGTCTTCGGCTTGTGTAAGAGCAGTGTGAACAGAAAGCTTTGTTGAAGCTTTTAAAGTACTATTCAATTCCAGTTTGTAAATATTGAACACAGATCCTAATGGGAGTGCTGGTTGCCACTTTAACCACTTTCGGACCAGTCACGTACCTGGCATGTCACTAGATCTCAAGTGGTTGTACCGGAATGATGCCTGCAGTTGTTCTCTTGTAATAGCAATCGGAGTGGCTAACTAGCAGCTCGATTGCTACTACAAGCAGCAGGAGGGGACATCTCCCCTCCCGCCGCCTTCCACGACTTTAACAGGATCTCCTGTCCCACTGGAAGTCCCAATCAACCAGCCAGACCCAGCTGGTCACAGAGCCGAACAAAGATTGGATTGGCTTTGCTCAGCTCTATTATATAGTAACGCGGAAGCAATGACTTGACATCACTTCCAATTTACTTGGAACTAAACAGCACCATTTTTTTTAATAAAAAGCATTTAATCACACTAATCTTGGTGTGATTAAATGCTTTAAAGGGCAGAGGAGGGTTTGGGGATCTTATTAACGCCAGATCTCTCCATAAAGAGTACCTATCACATGCTTATTGATGTTTACACTCCTTGTGACAACAATAAAAGTGATCCAAAAAATTTTTTTTTAAGAGACAGTGTAAATAAAAAAATAATAAGCAAAAAATTAAAGTGTCCCCCCCCCCGTGCTTGTGTGCAAAGGCAAATGCATGCATCAGTCCACCACACACTCATACAAGAATTGTCACACACATGCATGTGAGGTATCACCGCAAATGTCATTTCATGGGCAGTAATTCTAGCACCAGGACTCCTCTGTAAATCTAAAGTGGTAACCTGTAAAGATTAATTTTGTGCACAATTTTAAAGCGGGACATGTTTGGTATCTATTTTGGTGTAACATAATTTTTGTGCATTAAAATAAAAAAAAAGTGTATTTTTTCCCCAAAAAATTGCTTTTGAAAAACCACTGTGCAAATACTGTGTGACATAAAAAATTGCAAAACCCAGCAATTTATTCTCTAAGGCCTCTGCTTTAAAAAAAAATATAATGTATGGGTGTTTTAAGAAATTTTCTTCAAATAATACTGATTGTTAAATTTAAACAAAAAGTGCCAGAAAAGGCCTGGTCTTCAAGTGGTTGCTGCTAGCAGGCTTCAGCAGGCTTTTAACAAGCTTCAAGAAGTGCTGAAGCCTGCTAGCAGCTTGCTTAAAGTAGAAATCTGCACTTCCATTAGGATATGTGTTGAGCATTTACAAATTGGAGGTGAATGCTACTTTAAAAGCTTCTACAATCGTTACCGAAAGCTCTGCAAATGCTTTGTCAAAGCTTGATGTTTACATTGCATTTATACAAGCTGAAGCCCGTGTGAAACAGGCCTTTGAGGACAGAAATCTTTCTATCTAATCCAAAAAAAAAGTCTTACATTTAATTACAATTTAAGGCTACAATCACACAGACAATTATGGGCATACAGCAGATTTCTGTAGCAAAAATCAGCAGATTCTTATGGTTGAGATCACATGTATATGCGAATATCTGTGGCCTGAAAGCCTGTACAAATCATGTACACATTCATCAGTTACCTGTGGTTATGGACAAATGAGTGACCCTGGAATTAGAACAATTATGTCCAGGGTCGGACCTCTGTTCCTACCTGCAGAAGGGACCTGCTGCTACATAGCTTTAGTGCAGACCTGATTTATATATATATTACTATTATTATTATTATACAGTATTTATATAGCGCCAACAGTTTGCTCAGAGCTTCACAATATAAAGGGAGACAATACAGCAACAATACAGTTCAATACAAGAAAGTTAGGAGCAGGAGCGGACTGACCAATTGGAAACTCGGCACTGCCCGAGGGCCTGGGTCAGTAGGGGGCCCCATGAGATGCCCCTGATACCTTTTTCATAGGCTTTTGGAAGTTTGGGCAAGGACACAGGGGCCCCATGATCCCCTATTGCCCAGGGGCCCCATGAGTTGTCAGTCCGCCCCTGGTTAGGAGGGCCCTGCTCCTTGGAGCTTACAATCTAAGAGGGAGGGGCTGGTGGTACAAAAGGTAATAACTGTGGGGGATGAACTGTTAGGAGGAATACAAGATTCCGTTATTAGCTGAAGGCATGATAGGCCTCCCTGAAGAGATAGGTTTTCAGAGATCGCCTAAAAGTGGACAGAGTAGGTGATAGTCTGATAAATTGGGGTAGAGAGTTCCAGAGGATGGAGGATGCTCTGGAGAAGTCCTGGAGATGAGCATGGGAGGAGGAGACAAGGGAGCTAGAGAGCAAGAGGTCATAGGAGGAGCGGAGAGGACAGTTTGGGTGATATTTGGAGACAAGATTGGTGATGTAATTTGGGGCAGAGTTATAAATGGCACTGTATATATATACAGGGCTTTTTTTCTCAGAGAACAGGGGCAGGAACTTAACTTAACCATACACAACCCCCCTCCCCCACACTGTATTTGGTTCCGCCTCTCTCATTTGCAGGGAGATCAGATGGAAAAATGGAGATCACAGAGGGTGCAGCCTACTATGCGCCCTCTCCCACCCATGACTTCACTGCATCCTGAGCACCCGCATTTCCCTTGTCCCTATCTTGCACTCAGTGGGATCTGCTAATCTAACTAAAAAGGGCAGAGATGCCCGAAGTTGCTACTAATGGCTATAATAATACTGTATGTGCTGTAACCCCTTTGTATTACATGTTGATTATTTTGGTGAGGGGGGGGGGGGTTTGGGGGGAGGGGGGTCCACCTGGTTACTTGTATAGATAACTAATATTACCTGCTGGTGCTGTGCATAAATTTTGTATACATTATAATACATACAAAACATATTTTTCTACTGTGTGCATTAAAGACAAACTTTATTGACTATATAATCCTTCCTACCTGCACCAGGTGTTTTACATCCTGTATAAAATGTGCAATGATTATGTAGTTTCATGATGTCAGTTGTTGTTTTTTACGCACAGCCTATAGTGGAACAAATCCTCACATTCTGGCATCAGACGTCTCTGTTTGTGTTCAAACATGAGGCATGTGACATGGTACTGCACAGGTTAATGCATTACCTCTGTCTTTAGTCTAAGAACTGACACTTCCTGTGAACAAACTACATATCTCACAATTCCTGGGTCTCTCAGTCTAGCACTGGTGCAGGTGCAGTAGCTAGAGATGTGTTTTATCACATTAGTGCTCCCAAATGTGTGATGCAACACAGAGGAAATAGCAAGGCATCGATTGGACACAAAGTGACCCATTGCCTGTCCCTTTATCGATTAGGGACAAGCTAGCTGAATGAATATATGGACATAGGGGAATCGATCAGCCATGACACTACAAACTGCAGCCACAACATGTGAACCCATCATTACAAGGTAAGGAAAACAAATGACATAGGGAATATAATTAAGCTAATAGTTCTCATGCACACAGACATAAAAAAAATTCTGGTACCAAAACCGAAACTTCAGAATGCACTTGGCTGAAAACCGAAACCGAAATGGACAGTTTTTAAAAATTAATATATTTTTCAAATGCAAATTTTTGGAAAAAAATACAATACCACAATTTTTACGTAAAATATGAAAGATGATGTTACACCAAGTAAATAGATTCCCAACATGTCATGCTTTAATACTGCACACGCTTGTGGAATTGCGCCAAACTACTTTACTTAAAAATCTCCATGGTGACGATTTGAAATTTCTACAGATTACCAGTTTAAAGTTACAGAAGAGGTCTATTGCTAGAATTATTGCTCTTGCCCTGACATTCAGAGAGATACCTCACGTGTGGTTTGAACACCAGTTGTGGACGTGGCCTATGTTTGCGTTCACCATTACGTGCGAGCACGGAGATATGGGGGCACTTTAAACATTTTTTTTAATTAATTTTTTACACTGTCCCTTTAAAAAACATTTTTTAATCACTTTTATTCATATCACAAGGAATGCAAACATCCCTTGTGATAGAAATACGCATGGCAGCAGGACCTCTTTATGGAGAAATATGGGGTCAATAAGACCCCCACATCTCTCCTCTATAATGTAAAGCATTAGATCCAAAAAAGCATTGATCTAGTGCTTTAAAAAGTGAATAAACATGCTCTGTGTTCAGATCTGTAACCAAAAATCTAAAAATTTGAGTTTGAGGACATGCATTTTACACGCTTATGTGAGTAAGCACATGTAACTGCATGCAAACACATATACATAGATGCAAACAGTGCATGCTGGTACTGGAAAAAGAAAAGCTGGAGGATAAAGAATGACAATTTTTATACATTTAAAAAAATATCTAAAGGCAAGAATTGTACTGATCATTTAAGCAGGAACCTTTGTTCCAGAAAAACCTTGCCTACACGATTGGTAAAATTCTTACACTCATATGCATGTAGCCATACCTAGTTAAAACAACAAAAACATTTGAAAGTGTACAATGCCTTTAATGGTTTTGGGGCAATTATACTTAATAATCTTGAAAGTTAAGATTTAAATTGATGTTTGTATCTGTTTTTGTTTTTTTTTTTTCTTCTTTTTAAAAATAAACTTTGACTACAGAATACATCCGTGAACAGGATTGACAGAGCATTATGGGCTTCTAAAAATAGCTCACAGCAGAGACTGTTTGCCTTTAGACTCTTTGGGGGTTATTTACTAAAACTGGAGAGTGCAAAATCAGGTTCACTTGTGCATAGAAACCAATCAGCTTCCAGGTTTTATTTCCAAAGCTTAAAGTGTTACTAAACCTAGGACCCTGCATTCACTATATCTGGTCTCCCACAGTACACAGAACATGGAAATGCAATTATTTTAGTAAATATAAACTGCTAAATACCTTTTCGCATCAGCAGTTAGAGCAATCTTGTGACTTCTATCAGTGTCCAGCCCAGCACTAGCTAAAGCTTGTAGGAGGAGTTTTCTTTCTGCTCAAGGAGGATGCAGGACGCCTGACCTCTGTCTGGACAGTGCTGATTGGCCCTGTGTTGATCACATGCACTCTCCCAAGAAAAAAAAAAACCTCTCTAGCAATATACACCAAACTGAGCATGTGCATGCCTATGGTTCAGTTTGGAGATAAGAGGCAGTCGCTTGAAAAAGAAAAGAGAAGAAAGGATCAAACAGCCGTTTTACAAAATGCAGAGGATTAGCACCTTAGGTTCCACAGTGAGTATAACAATCATGCTTTACTGCAGATACAGACTGATTTTACTGTTGTGGGTATAGTAACACTTTAATTCAACAAGGTGAGAATAGAAGATGATTGGCTACCAGATTCTGAGTTAGCCAGATTTAATAAATCTCCCCTTTTCAGTCTCACTGGAACTTTAGCTGCAGCCCTCTGTATACAGCAGGAGGGGGGTGAGTCACTTCTCTGATTTGTTTATTTGTATGTTTAAATTTCTGCTGAAGCTACTGAGCTCCATAACATAAACTTTTTTTCAACAAAACAGATGCGAATAGCTTGGAAAACATGAAAAAAATGAAACTTCTAGAAATAAAATATGTTGATGCAAAAAAATAATGTGGGTCTTTAGTCAGGACAATGACCCCTTTGCACTTGACCCAATCAAACAATATCTCCAGGTGTACATTTACTTAACAAGAATGCAAAAAGGTGATCTTTGCCCATGAGTTTCTACACTCACAGAATACCTGAGATATGTTAGGTGCAAAGTTTACATAGTGAAAGTTCCTCATAACAAGACATAGTAGATGTATTGCAGTGGTTATTATAATGCTGCAAGATATTGCAAAACACAGGAATTCTTACAATGTTCTAAGTAAGTAATACACTATGCATCAAAGATGCACATTTTTCTGAAGTTACCGGAAAGTCTTCATTATTAATATCCTATTTTCTTAGTGGTAAAAAAAATCCTGCTTACTGTATGCACACATCCATTTTTAATGCATCTAATTTATGATTTCTATGAAAAAGATACATCTAATTGTTATTTTCTGAAACAAATATCTTCACATTCATAGAAATGTCCATGTCTCCAATACAATGCAGAACAGAAGTAGCCAGGCCCGGACTGGGATAAGAAAAAAATAGGCCCGGGCATTTTAGACTGAGCAGCCAATTTCCAGGGGGGGGGGGCAAGGGCATTTGCAGGGGTAGCTGGTGACTGAATATTCACGGAGTCGGTCCTCTGCATTGTAATATAAAGGGGCACTGTGATATAAAAATACAAAGGGGACTGCACTGTAAAGGGGCACTGTATTGATTGCCCCTTTACAGCGCAGTACCCTTTATATCATAATGCCCCATGCCCCTAGAGATCTAATCATAGCAACCCCTATATATTCAAAGAGATGGCCCAATCCAGCAAAGAAACATTCCCATCCAGAAAAGAGATATCCCCATATAGCAAAGAGACAGCCCAGTCCAGCAAAGAGACAGCCCAGTTCAGCAAAGAGACATCCCCATCCAGCAAAGAGACATCCCCATATAGCAAAGATACATCCCAATCCACAAAGAGATGGGATGTCTCTTTGCTGAACAGGGATGTCTCTTTCCTGGATGAGGATGTCCCTTCTTGGACTGGGCTGTCTCTTCACTGGATTGAGATGTCTCTTTTCTAGACACAACTGGGCAAAGAGACAGCCCAGTCTAGCAAAGAGACATCCCCATCCAGAAAAGAGACATCGCCGTCCAGCAAAAAGACAGCCTGTCCAGCAAAAAGACATCCCACTCAGCAAAGAGACAGCTTGTCCAGCAAAGAGACAGCCCATCCAGCAAAGAGACATCCTGTCCAGCAAAGAGACAGCCCATCCAGCAAAGACACAGCCCATCTAGCAAAGAGACAGCTCAACCAGCAAAGAGACAGCTCATTCAGCAAAAATACAGCCCGTCCAACAAAGAGACAGCCCCATCCAGCAAAGAGACAGCCCATCTAGTAAAGGGACAGCTGGTCCAGCAAAGAGACAGCATATCCAGCAAAAAGACATACTGCCCAGAAAAAAGACAGACCATTCAGCAAAGAGACAGCTCTTCCAGAAAAGATACAGCCCAT